ACCGAACCGCTCCCTGGGCTGTCCCAAAGCCGGCCTGCGCGTGCCGACACCCCTCTCGGGCAGGGCTTTTCCCAGAATTCACCACTCAAAATTGGGTTTTCCAGGAGCAGTTACCCCCCAAAATCTCTTTTATTAAAGTCCTTAAGAGAACAAAAAGCGTGCGCACGCTATCGATGTTGTTAACACCGGAACTTCTGCAGGCCTGACTTCACCGCTGCTGACTTCAAACTGCAGTTTTCTAACTCGAGGTGGTTCAGTTACAACAATACGGGAGGGAGGGGGGGTAAAAGTCATCAATGCGCAAACTTCGCCCCCAGACCCACCCCTTCTTCCCCTGGAACCATCCTTAGAGGATTTTATCCCACCGCTACGACCTTAGCAGCAGTCAGCGAGCGAGTTTACTTTGCAATGCAAGTTCCTGTTTGTAACACGCATCTGCAGGCTCTTTTACTATCAATAGTGGTGTACCATACGTGAAAATATCCCTTCTGGTTCTTTTCCATCTCCCAGGGCAGCAAGGAAACCTTCTTGTCTCCTCCTCTGGGCTAACGCAGCAAGGGACTTGAACGTCTTTGGCTCATAAATAGCCAAATCAGCAATCATTTTCCTATTCAGCTCCACCTGGGACTAAATGCAAGAAAATTGTTGGTTAAGTACTGTAATTTTTATGAACACCACCACAACACTTAATGGTTACCTGAGGTCTTAAGGCAAATTACTTTTTTTTTTCCTATGGTGTGCAATTCTGGAACTATTAGAGAACTGTCAGACATCACTACTCAGCCACAGATGTCTCATTAAGCCAATGTGTAAAATTTGTTTACTGACTTTCTCAAAGTCTTTCTGGTAGAAACCATAAACTGAAGGAGAATCTCATTTCATAGAAGGCTACATGTTACAGGTTAATCCCTGGCATTTGTTTCTGTTCTTAGACATATTCAAGTTTACCTCTTGTGACAGAAGCTGCTTGGTATTTTAAAATGTGTCCTGGAGTAGAGAAGGAAAGACTGCAGTCTTAATACTCTTAAGTCTAGATACTGCACTGTTAACTGCATATTCTAAAAGGGATGTATTAGATAAAAGTTTACTTTTGGATCTTCCAACAGAGAACCTTACAAAAATACACTGCTCTGAAACAAGAATCAAAGGGACAGGCATCTTGAGGAGAGAAAAAGATAAAAAAAGAGTTATCTTTTTAGGCAGTGCTTGATTCTTTTGGTTACAGCATGACAAAAGTAACCAGGAGGAAGAGTGTATAAATTTCAGGAACTATATTACTTTACAGGAAACGTGTCTGAAAGCCTAGAAAGTGATCTATTTATTTGAAACCCAGATAAAATGCTTTGAAACATGCTATAAATTTATATTTATATAAAATGTTTTGAAACATGCTATAAATTTTATGTAAATTTTAAGAAGCAGAAACACTACCTTCTTACTATGATCACAACCAAGAGAAACAAGTTTTAACTTTACAGTTCCAGTATCACCAAATTAAAACAAATTCCCCAGCATATTTGAGAACAAGGGACAGTGTCACTAACTCTGCCTGGTCCATGCTCACCAAAACACAAAGCTAGTAATGAAAACAGCAGAGTTTCTTAGGGTTGTTTTTGCTAATCCAAACCTTGTATTTTTAGATTCCTTGATGTAAAAGGAAAAAGGCAGCAGTCACTTAATGCTCGCTGTAGCAACAAGTGTAAAAGCATTTTACAAGTCACGTTCTTAAGATGCGCAGTAAAAGTTCTGGGGACAGAACAAGGTGTAGAGCAACAACGCTCACCAGGATAAAAGGCGATTATGCATAAAAGGAAGAGAAAAACAGGTTTGGGGCAGGACTTTGTTCCTGAAGTGAACGAAATTCTTTTCATAAGCAGAAGGCTTTTCATCACAACTAGGAAGCAGGACAGTGTTGGCACAAGTTCAGTCTGACAGAAGGAGCTTTTCAAACCCTCCACCATGCCCTATTGCCTGCTCAGGCTCCAATTTGGAAGTCCCTCTTTAAAGATTGGTAAGTGGAGGCTGCAGCTTCAATTCCTTGCAGTTGCAATCTTAGATAGTAACCAGCAGCACTTTGATATGTTTTGTCAGACTACATCTACATGAAAGACTTTGGAGTTTTAAGAAACTAATTTGCCTGGCACTTCAGAAGACCTCTATGAGACATCTTCTCCAATCTGTCGTTTCAAAGCAATTATTCTTCAAGCACCATCCTTACCTTAAGCAGATTGCTTATGAAACCTGGGTATTTCAAACCATGTTCCAGACAAGCTGCTTCAATCCTTGTGATCCAAAGCTGAAAGTGTAAAAATTAACATCTTGGATGATAAAATACTTTAAAAGTAAACCTTTTGTCATGCAGATCTGCTCACACTTAGTAAATGTAACATTTTCAGACCTACGGTCTTCTCAGTGCAACATATACATGTATGAACTTCAGAATATGAGCTGTTTCAGTCCACAGAGGGACTATGCTTACTTTAAACTCTTTATTTCTCACCCACAGGTAAAACATTTTGGGAGAACCCCCCCAGTAAGGAAAATGGTTACTTCAGTTCTGCTCTTCGCACATTTTAATGTTTACATCTAACATTTTGCCATTTACCCCTCTTAGGAATCTCTTCTTCTCTCTTCTGGCCTTTGTAGACTTCACAAAAGCTCTGCGAACACTTCGTACGGCCAGCTTATAGCAGCGGTTCTTCCTGCCACGAAAATGCTGAAACAAAACCAAGATGTTCTTGGTTCAGTTATCTTTAAGGCTCTTAAACCCTTCAGAAACACTAATATATGCTCATTTGCATTTCACAACTCTTCATAAGAAGGATCACAAAATACTTCAAACATCAGCTAAGCCTTCAGCTGGTATATAATGAAAATATTACTTCCTTGTTTTATAGCATGAGAAACCTGAAGTTGAAAAGTTGGAGCAGGCTGAAAAATTTCAGTCCAGCAGAAGGGAACCAAAACCAGACCTCATGTCAGCAGTGGTTCCAGCAGGAAGGCGACCACAAAATCATCTTCAGTGCTTTCAGCCAAACCCTGAAGTCAGGGATTTATTCTCATTCCCGAGCTGCCCTCTCAGTTTGGTCAGTATGAATACAGGGACGGGACAGGAGCCTCTGGCATGTCAAAAACATTAGAGCTGCCCAAACACAAAGTATAATGAGTAAGTTTGCTGGAGCTACCAACATCCATCCAACGTGAAGCAGGAAGAAGTAGCCAGTCCTGCAGTCAGAGGAATAAGTAACTACTACAGGGACTGTGGGCAAGATACTGTCACTTAACTGCAACATCTTCCACCTCAATCCTACAATCCTACACCAAGACGTACCAGCTCCCAGCCAGGCTGCTACCAGCCTGCCCTTGAGAAAGGTTCTTCCCGAGTGTAGGGGCAATAGCTTGAACTTCAGTTGAAATTATGTTGTGCAGCACTCTCCTTCACCTTTTAAAATACACTTGAAGAACAAGGTCTGGGGTTTGTTTGTTGGTTTGTTTTTTTTTTCCCTGCTCCCATTCCCAGCTAAAACCCAGCAAAACCCCACAGCCAGCCTTCCCACGCTGCTGTGCCCGGGCTGCTCCTAGTTCTTCTGCCACAGGGCTCATGTTTTATTCCTCCCCCCGTGCTGTGTTGTAGCACCGGGCCAGGCGTGTCACGGCTTTAACCGAACGCAGAGCCATTCCCACACACAAGGACCCGCCGGCCGCTCGCTCCCCTCCGCCGGGCGGGCCGGAGCCCTCGGCGGAGGAGGACGCGGACACTCACCCGCGCATACTTGAGCACCTCCTGCACCCTCCAGAAGCGGTCGGTGACGCGGCTGCGGAGCCAGCGCGGAGCGCTCAGCAGCACCATCCCCGCGGCCCCTTGGCGGCAACGCGGCCCCTTCCGGGGCGGGGACCGGGCGCCCGG